TAAGAGTAAAACCACTCTTTCCATTGGCAAACCACCTCATTTACCTGCCAAAATAAGGGTAAATGCACTTAATTTAAGAAATATTTACTTATTTCTAGATTGTTTTTCCAGTGCAATAATACTATTGGCTTCAAATTTTAAAGTATTTTTAAAGTGCAGCCTTGATAAAGGCAAGCAGCAGTGATAAAACAAGTATAGATATATTAAAACGCCTTAAATGAGGTTTTCTCAGCCAGCTGTATGTAGCTGCTGTTTCCTTATTTGGTGGCTAAAATAAAACTAAATGTGAAGTCGGGTCTGAACCTGAACTGATGCCATAACGGTGAATTAAATGAGATAACTGTTTATTTACTCTTTAAAAACTGAAACATGACCGAAAAAGAAACAAATCTGTAAGAAACAAAGATTTTCTCAGCTTAATAAAAGCTGCGGGTTGTAAATTCAGATTTATTCTTCCAAAACATGAAAATACACCAAATTCTTCACTTTTTACAGGAGCTTTTTGACCCGGTAGCAATTTAGAGTTTAGTTTAATTAAAGCACAAGTGTTTTCCTTTCTACAAGTTTTCCTTTATTGCCCATTCATCTGTTTACATTATGAACCACTTATACATCACCAACCACCAATCGCTCTGAGTAGTTTTATTTCTTTTTCTTCTGTAGATCGTTTTCACACTAATGTAAGCAACATCAGCAAGTTAACACATAAAGCTTAGCATTTCAAGAAACAAGACAGTTTAGTAACAATACAAAGGTTTTTTTTTTCCAACTTCCAAAATAAATGATAAAAAAAAATGTACGAATGAAAAAAAAATAAGAATTAGCATAAAATTAATTTAGAGTAAAAATACAAAATAATATTAATGACATTGACCAGATATGAAAATATCCTAAATGTTTGAGAAACGAGTTTGTAAGAAAAAAAAAAAATATGTATGAAATAAAAAAAAGTAAAAATGTTTGAATTCCTTTTTTTTTTTTTTTGCAAAACTAAAAAATAAAAATGAAAATGCAAATTTCTCAGTACAAAGGCTACATTACTACTGGAAGGTTCTAGCAGGTAAATACACAGTAGAAAATGATTTTAGTGGATCACAATGCTTGCAATGAAAATCGTTTCGCAATAAGATTTATGCCTCTTTTTTTCTCGTTTTCTCTTTTTTTTTTTTTACAAACAGTACAAACAGAGTATTGCACATTACGACAAAGAATCAAGGTTGTTAGCCTTAAAAAAGGAGGAAGGGGGGTGGGGAGGGGCTAATTCAAGTCTTGCGTGAATAGAAGGCCACCATTCAATGGATGCAACCTTTGGGGGCTTTCAATCAAGTTACAGGTGAAAACACTCGTGTCTGTTTAGTGTTAAAAATAACATTCTTGTCTTTTTCTATGTCCAGTGACTTTCTGAAGTCTTTTTATTTCATTTTATTTCCCCAACTACGTCAGGCTAACGAATCAACTTCTTATTTTCCTCTTTTTTTTTTTTATTTATTCTTTTTTTTTTCATTTTTTACAAAACAAAAATGGGAGCACATACTTTTAAGAAACATAAAAAACCTCTTTTTAAAAAAATAACAAACAGAAGATCTCTTTCACAACTCTGGTCAGCATAGTAGATGATTGATTATATAAAAAAAGGTGGGAAATCCGTTTTTTTTATTTCTATCCGAGCACCTGATATTTAATGTCTGTAAGAGCCTCTCTTCTCTCTGACGCTTCAAACCATTAAACCGGTCGGACTTCTGCTTCCAGCCCAGTAGACGATTCTCTCACTGCCAACATCATATTCGTTATAAAGCTTTGGCTCCTTCAGTTACTCTCTTTAAAAAAAATAAATTCTCAAAAAAAAAGCATAAAAAATTCATCTGATAAATCATTTCTCTTGAAGAATTAAAATAATATATATCTGTCCATCTGAATAAACTTAGAAAATATCTGTTTCTCTCCTAATATATTTCAAAATTGAGGTATTGCTAAAGATTCTCGTCAGTATTTTCCTGTTCTTTAACAAAAAAATAAACTGTTGCAGATGGTTCAGATACAAAATGTAGTGCAACACAAATACAGAGAAGAACAGGAGAAAATGTAGAGAATAGAAAACTGAATAAAAGGGGCAAAGAAATGTCTGAAAAAAAAAGATCTATACCCAGAACTTACTTCTTTATGGATGCTTATCATTACTGAGGAATAATCTCTCTTCTGCTAAAGTCCAATTAGGTTTTCTATATAAAAAAAAAAGCAGAAAAATAACAGTTTACGACTGAAAACAGTTCAACACACACAGCCGTGTTCGTCCAACCAGAGCGGATCTCGCCTAAAGCGGCCGTCCGTCACATTTCTGCACGTGGCGTTCAGGATCATCTCCCACCCCTCGTTCTATTTCAGCTTTGAAAATACGCACCTTTAGATAGAACCTAAAAAATATATATTTATATATAATGTCCACCTCTTTTCAGTTTTATTTAGCAGGTCCGGTACTTCAAGCTTTGCAGGAGACAAAAAAAAAAAAAGAAAAAACTTTTAAATCTGGTGATTGCTTCAACCGTGGCTCACACATCCGCATCTCCACCTTTTCTATCCAAACCCCTTTCAATACATCTGCATGTAGAAGGGCTCAGTTTATCGATCTCAGATCTCCAGTAGCTTCATGATTTCATTTTGTTTTTCCACACTATCCGAAAAGACAAACAAGTGAGCTCTTTGGTTGCGTTTTGGGCACAAAAAAAAAGCATTTCTTTTTACTTTAAGCCCTCAAGTTCTCGGTTTAAGCTCACACGATTTTTTTTTTCTCTCACCGTCTTCAGGGTCAGACTCGAGTTATGAAGGCTCTGGAAAAACAGCCGTCCATGGTGTGTCGTCATGGGTATCCAGAGGTGCAGACGTGTGTCAGAGTGTGTGAATGTACAAGAGAACATATATACATATATATATATATACATATATATATAAAGATGTATATACGTGTGCATATACTAGTTAATGAAGTTTCACAGGACTTCTATGTCGGACACTCACGACAGTTAAAGCGAATCACAGTTCTAGGCATACTCAGATCTAACTACATACAGTATAAAAAAAAATTGCACAATTATATCAACAATCACCGCAAATAAAGTACTTCACCTATTAGACAGGTTTTAACTGTAGTCCTACACTTCATTTGTGATTATTATGCTTATTTTAAACCACTGTCGTCGTCCTGATCAGTGGCGTAAAGTCGCCCCGCTTCACCGTTTCTGTCTAGTTTTACCCCGCAGAGCCTTGCAAAGGCATTCATGCCACTTTCTCATATTACAACTAACTAACTTAGATAGGATTTTATGTGACAGACCAACACAAAGTAGTACAAAACTCTCAAAACTCCGCTTTGCTGGAGACCAAGGAACTCGGCTGATGGATCAGAGAGGAAGTTAATCTCAAAGCAGGTTTAGATTTTAGAGCAATAATCCAAACGGCGGACAGTTTAGAGCTCTGTTCATAATCTGAACATGGAAAAAAGTGGAAAATCTATCAAGAAACGGGTGTCAGCTTAGAATGAGGCAGGGGGCAAGGATCAGACAAGCAGTGAAAAGCCTGATGGTAACTGGAGGAGCTGCAGAAATCCACAGCTCAGGTGGAAGGACAACTATAAGTTATGCTTTTCCCGAATATTGGCTTCAGGGAAATGCGGCGAAAAGAAATGTTGGGGGAAAAAAAGCTGCAGATTATGAAGGAAACATCGAAACAACTTCAGCATCAAGATTATGGAGCTAAAAACGGGATTAACCTGGAGAGAAAGAAACTTCCAGCCGGATCTATGAGGGAACGGTTTAGATCCAATCATGTTCATTAGTAAGGATGGCCTAGTCAAAGTCCAGCCCCAATTCCAAATAAGAATCTACAGCAAGGCTTTAAAAGGTGATGATCACTAATCTGGTCACAATAAGCTGGTAGAAGAACGTGGAGCTTTAACCATGGAGACCCATCAGCACACAGAATACAAATATTTTCCTTTTTTTAACCATTACCAAAAAAACAAGCGTCACATTTTCTTTGCATTTCTGCACATTTTCTGTGCTACTTTTCTTTGGTCTGTTCACATAAATTCCCAATAAATTATGATTTTGATGCAAGGTGGAGAAGTTAAAGCAGAATGAATCCTTCAGCAAGGCACAGCACGACCTGCAGTGAAAAACACGTCAGAATCCGGACCTGCAGACACCGTCACCGTCCACCTTAACCATCGCTGCCTGAGACAACTCGTCGCCCTGAAACGCCAGCTGCTTCTATGGATCACTCCTCTCTCTCTCCTTCCTCGCTGGAAAAATAAAGTACTTATGGTGTCCGTTCATACGGTGGACTTAGCAGCAAAGCTCCTGCAGCAGTACGTTTACATAACACTAAAAAAAAAAATCATGTTATTATAAAAATAAAGACCTAGATTTCGAACGAAAACTAATCTGATTGTGAGGTATTAACATTTACAGAGTCACGATCGAGAGTGAATATATCAGTTATTTTCCTCCCTAACTACACAACAGCTGTTAATTCTTGCTACATCTCAAGCCGCCTATTTTGCTTTAAGGTTTACTTGTATTTAATTAGCCTTTGGTAGTCTTTTATTTCATTTAGGGGCAACATAACTACAGCTGTTTCAAAGTAAGTGCATGCTCCTTTTGCATAAATTTAAATTAGCTATCTAATTCTAGATAAGTAAAAAACAAAAAAAATATATGCATCTATATTGGTTTTAAATATGTAAATGGTCCCAGCTCTGCTTCGGTGAGGGTGTGCCAGAGCAGGGAGCTCGAAGTAGCTAGGTGTCGGACATACCAAACCAACCGTGTGTGTGTGTGTGTGTCTTCATGTGTGTGTTTTTAGTGAGATTTTGTGCCAAAGTGCAAATTGTAAGATGATTTTTTTTCCATTTTCCCCCACAAAGCTTCATCAGAGGGGAGCACTGGACAATGTTGGATACTGTTTTGCTTTTTTTTTTTTTTTTTTTTTTTTTTCCATAACGGGGGTGCTTGTGGGAATCAGGGTGGAGCTGTGGGGGATGGTGTCCCCCCCCCCCCTCTGGACGATCCGATGTGGGTTCATGGGGATGGTAGCGCAGATCCGTCGCCCTCTCAGCTCCAGCGGAAAGACACGTGTCGAGGGCGGTCGCCCCCTTCCTTCACCAGCGGCTTGTGAAACTCCCGGCCGGCTCGGGAGTGGATGCTGGCCCAGCAGTACTCGCAGTAGTACTGCAGGCAGGTGACGTTGGCACAGAAGAAGGGGGCGAACTTCCCGCCGCAGCGCGCCCCCTGGCACTCGTCGCACATCTGGTCGTCGAGGACGTACGGCTTCACCTCCACCTAAAGAAGGATAAAAAGGTCCACTTCAGCTTTATCATCAGATTTAGATACCATCCTTCACTATTAGATTAGATTCACTTTTATTGTCATTACACTAGTACAGATACAAGGTAACAAAATGCAGTTTAGGTCTAACCAGAAGTGCAATAGCAGCAGTGCAGGATAAATAATGGTTCTATAAATACAGGACATGTGTATTTCTACTGAATGAGTATAGAGATGAATACTATTATAAATAATATATAGATCACTAGTGTTATGAACTAAATTTACAGCTGGATATGTACAGAATATAATATACAGATGGATATTACTATTAAAAAAAGGTTTTTACAGTTATGTACAATAGCATATATACAGATAGCCTCGTGAGACCATCCTGATCTCACTCGCAGATCAGTCTGGAGACTCTCCGTTACAGAAAATTTGGAGCCGTTCACCAAACGAACGTCCAATCAGCGTTGGCTTTGAGGCGGGTTGAGGTGTGACGCAACGAGGAGCGCGACAGTTCAGTCTAAAGAACATGGAGGCTTCAGCCGATGAAACTAGCGTTAGCGTGGCTATCGAGCAAGTTTTGTTGGAATTACAGAGTATTTCTTCACTGAAAGAAGAGCAAAACACTGCTCTGGAGGCTTTTCTCAGAGGAAAAGATGTTTTTACTCTTCTCCCGACTGGTTTCAGCAAGAGTTTGATCTATCAATTGGCTCCTCTTCGTCGTCGCTCTGTTAGTACGTCATATGCTTCGTTGATCTGATTGGTTTATTTGGCCCGTCTATCACCAACATAGGCCAATCAGCTAACCAGTATATTCGCCCCTTCCCAAAATTACTTCAACTGAAGGTTTCCAGATGGATATGCGGAGCAAATCCATCTGGCGGAGTCAGGTTAACCCTAATGCCAAATGTATCGTATTTGATACATACGGTTTCTGAAATGTTTTGCATCTGACACCTTTTGCATAATTTAATGGTAAAAACTTTGCTCAAAATCCTATTTTACACAATCAGATATACCTGATAACAGAGGGCAGAAGACTACAAAAAAAATAATCTTATCGCATAGTAATAAATTATTAATATCAAAAATGTTTTTCTGTTTTTTCTTTTTACATTTTTTGTTAAAAGGCCAAATAAGGATTTCTAACCAAAAAAAAGTAATTTTCTGTTTTGTTTTATTCTTGGATCGGGCTTTAAAGGGTTAATATACAGATGGGTTTTACTATAAAATGAATAAATAAAGTTTGAACAGAAGTTATCTAAATTAAAGTGCAGTGGAAGTTGATTGCATATTACAGTTAAAGTACGTTATTGCAGATGTAAATGTAAAGAACTGGTGCTGTGAATAAACAGTCGGCAGTGCAAATATAAGCAGTCAAAGATGCATATAAAGAGTTGTTACAATAGTAAAATCAGGAGTGCAGGTGACCTTTACAGTCTTAAAAACTGACAAACTCATCAAGTTATTCCCACCTATAAAAACTGAAGTATTTCTAATATTGACTCTTCTTGTAATCTATGGCTTCATGTTTTTTCCCTAGATAGAAATATCATGTCGCATATTTCTCCTCAAAAATGGGAAAAACCAAAGAAAATTCCACTCTGTGACCTGGAGATGTTGAAAAGCAGCATTTGTTTGGTTTCAGTTCGATTAATTCCAATGAAATAAACCCTTTAGTTTATATTATTATATTTTTCTGGGGTATAAACATGACGAGACACCTTGAAAACTTGAAGTTCGGAAGAGCTCCATAAAAAGCAAAATGCTTCCGATTTTAGCTTGCTTAAATCTAAAGTCGGATAAATAAAAAGGTTTCAAGCAGGTGGGGAAACATTTGTAAGTTGACAGGGTTCCCGCGGGTCCTTAAAAAGTCTTAAAAGTCATTGAATTCTTCAAAATAAAACTAAGGCCTTAATTGGTATTAAAATGTCTTAAATCAGTCTTTCATAGGTCTTATTTTTTTAAAACATCATAAATAGGATTATTTTTATTACGATTTATTTTTGTAATCTAAATAAAACATTAAAATTGAAAAGAAATAATGTTTTATAAAAAAAAATAAAAATAAATAATTGCTCGCCATTATTGGTTCCGTCCCGATAGCGGAACCAATAAAAGCGTTGTTGCAAAATTTGAAACATTAGTGCAGTGGTTTATATTAAAATAAACCTTTGGGTTAAGTTATCACAGGCAGGTTTTTCTTGTGTTTCTTGTAAATTTGGTCTTAAATTTTTATTTCAAGTGGCATTAAAAAGTCTTGAATTTAACTTGCCTTATGCTGTAGGAACCCTGATTGATACACAGCTGCAGCAATGAGCGGCTTCATGGGGTCAGGATTATAATCCTTCATACCATCTGGTAGGGGACGGTCATCCCACTCTAGATTTGTTTAAAACATAAACTTAACTGATCTTATATATTATATTATATCAGTTAATTTATTCCTTGTTTCAAGTGGAGGAGTTTAAGTATCTCTGGGACTTATTCACGAATGAGGGACGGAAGGAGCGTGAGATCGATAGATTGGTTAATTATAATGAACTCTGAAGGAAGCTGTAACTTCTAAACATTAGTAGTAATATATATACACATATATATATATACATATATACACATATATATATATACATATGTACATATATATATATACACATATATATATATCTATATATACATATATATGCATATATATATATATCTATATATATATCTATCTACATATCTATATCTACATATCTATCTATGTATATCTATCTATCTATCTATGTATATCTATCTATCTATCTATGTATATCTATCTATCTATCTATCTATATATATATATATATATATATATATATATATATATATATATATATATATATATATATATATATATATATATATATATATATATATATATATTTATTGAACATCAGGCTGTCCTTACTACAGCCTAGCCACAAAATGCCTGTTTATCCTAAGCTGTGTTACAGCAGCAGGTCAGCGCTGCAGCTGGGAGATTTCCACTTTAAAAAATAACACAAAGGAAGCCAGAAAAACGAGTGGAAATTCTTGGTGGACATGACACCAACCTGGGGATATTAGCTTCTGTTAAGCAACACTGATGAGGAAAAAGGCAAACTCCCAACCAACTGGTATCTGTTTTTAACCCCCGCAGCTCTAAGGTCATAAATCTGCAGTGACGGTGGATTTTTCTGGAGGCTTCATCCTGTCTGCATAAATCTTTTTTTTTATCTCAAAAATAAAACTCTAAATAAATCTTTACCACAATCCCAGCCTTTACTCCCTGCAGAAACTCACTGATGCCGCCTTAATTGTTGTTTTTGTGCATCATTTGTGCTCAGGGTTGTTCCAGTCCCCCACTGAAGATATATGATGATAGCTAAGGTGGGATGGGCCGCCCCGCCCAGCAGAGGCTCGCCTTCCTGGCCGACAACCAGTCTGTCTTGGTCCCAATCCGTCCTGCTGCGATCGGACGGTGAGCTCAAATAAGCAGGCTGCAGCGCAGCTCTGGTGGATATTCATGTATAGGGAACTACTATAATTAGACCGGCTCTATGCGTCTGCAACTTGAAACATCTGTCGGGACTCAGGCGGCTAAAAGGCCAAAGTGATTACATAGCCAGGCTTGGCCTTCCGGTATTGTAGGCTGCAGAGAAGCAGTTGGCTGAAAACCCAGGCTGTAATGAAGGCTTTGATACATAGAAGAAGGCTCACGCAGCGTGCTGCTGCAAAGAGCGCCTGCAAACCCCTTTCTCTCCGAATAAAAAGCTTGTGAACTCGCTCACCCTTTTGTCGATGTCATTGTGCTGCAGCTGGACAAAGCGGGCACTGATTGCAGCGATGTAGCTCTGCTGATTGGAGAAGGCCACACGCCCGGCTCCCTTTGGATATTTGAGCTCTGGATCGGTGTCGATTCCTGCGTAGCAAACGCCTCCGTACAGCCGGTCCATGATCATCGCCAACTCCACTGGAAAACACAAAGAGAGAGATGATTGGAGCTGAAAGGGAGCTCTGACATAACATCTCACCCAAAAATGCAACAAATCTTTTAGAATAAATTGTAAAAGGTGTCCATTATGAAAGAGAAGACTCATTTAATCCAAGTGCAACAAACTAACATGTAAATTTATGCATGTTATATCAGTTTTCTTAGAGGTCTGACCTGTTCATTTAAAACAAAACAAAAACCGTAGATACCAATTTATGTTTAAAGCATCCAAAAAGGAGGAACCCAGAGTTAACTGATAAATAAAAGCATAATAATTATCTATATCTGTCTATCTAAATCAACCCAAAGTCCATCAGAGGAAATGCAGTTTTGTACGGACAGGAAAATATAAAGGGAGTAATAAATGTTGTTTGCAGACTGATAACATTCAAAGTTTTGAGAATGATGCTGGTTTTTGCCTCGGTTTTCTGAGAAGTCTGTGGTGCCGTATTGTAACCATATATACAGTTTTCCACTTGTCCCTCATTCACTGCAGCAGCAGTGGCCTAAACCTGCTGGGGGTAATTAGCTGGGGGTCAGATTGCAGACAAGCCAGCGATGTTCATCTCACCAAGATAAAAGGATCAACCTTCCATTAGCTCATGAATTCATAACGCCATGACCTCTGGGTCGCCCTCCTGGGAACCCAAGACATGGATTGCTTTCTCACAGGGAGACCTTTCATTACTGCCTCTGGCCTTTGCACTTGGTGTCAGCTCAGGTTATGATGCACAGTTTTAAAGCAGCTTGCATAAAACAAAAACAACAACAAAAAGAGGTAGGATTCCTATCAGTGGACAACCTGCACGCAGGGGCCGGGGGACACCACCAACGAAGATGGTTTTGCGGGGATCCAGAGGCTGGGAGCCGTCCATAACGAAGTCGCTGTCACTCAGGTTCCAGGGACGGATCTGGACCTATTGAAGAAAACAAAAATAAACGACCTTAATGGTTGAAAAAGCAGTGAGCTACACTTCAAATATGAAAGAAGAGCTGAAGAGATAACATTATCTAAAATTTAGTCCAACTGAGGTGATCAAACATCTGAAAGGATATCAGTCCTGCAAATAGGCTGTGAGCTGGATCTGGATTTACTTTCTCTTTAGTTCTGATCTGATTTTAACTCTGGACCTTCTGCAGAATAACAATAATATTACATTTTTTTATAATGCACTTTACATTTAAAGTCGTAGAGAAATGGCTGTTCGAACTGTTGCAGTTCCGAATTCTCCTGAGTGGTGCCTGAATTTACACGAGTGAATGTGATTGGTCGATTATTAAGGGGGCGGGATTGTTGTAGCGGAAGGTTCGCAAGCAGTTTGGTTGTGGCCAGTATGTCGGAAGCATCTTGCTAACCAGTTAGCAACTTAGTGCTAGTAGGTTCCCAATGGGAAATTCCATTGGGACCAAGTAGCACTAAATTGGTGACTTAGAAACGACACTGTCAAGGAACACTATGGACAGCGGGAACATGCAAGAGGAGGAGAGTTTAGTGTCGGAGGTCGTGGATGAGTCTCGTCCGTCATCCATTTTTTAATTAGAGGAGGAAAGGCGGGATGAAGATGTTGTGGAAGAGGACGCAACGCTGCCAGTTCTGTTAGCTGCGACATATGAATCAAGATGCTATGACTGAAAAAATTTGATTGACAGATTACCGTTGATATATGATTGGCCGAATTTTGATGTACAAGCTGACGTATAACTAACTGGCCTGCATAAGATAATGAAAAAAAAAAAAAAAAAACCCACAGATTATAAAACAGAATTTTTTTTAAATAGAAATTTTCTAACTTTTGGGACAATATGGTCTGATAAAGAGTACATTTATATACATTCATTTAAGCCAGAAGGATTTGAAATTTAAATATAAATTCCCTACGACTTTAAGAAAAATCTCAAAGTGCTTCAGGTAAAAGCATCATAAAAAGGTAAAAGCAAAAAATTCAAAACTAAACATCCTTGTAAAATACGTATGAATAAATAAGTCAATGTGGCATAATTATAAACATCAAAAAAATATATTTTTTTTAATCTTTCATTTAAAAGTCTGGGTAGTCTGTGGTTCCCTCAGATGATCAGGGAGGGCATTCCAGGTCCGAGGAGGAGGTAGTTTGAGTGGAATTACTAGCATAACATCAGGTATTACACTTCTAATACTGGAATATCTGAAACTAGCTACTTCATTACAAATAATAGCAAAGGTTAGAGGAAGCGTAGGCTATAAGCTTGATTGCAGCGCTCTGAAACTCTACGGTTTCACAGAAATATGGTTTTAAAAGCAGCGTAGGTGATACTGCTTGAGTCAGCATAAAAGTTTTTGCTTTTTAAATGCCGCCTCTGAGACCTAACGGATATCAGGCCGTTCTAAGTCTGCATCTGAGACTGCTCACAATTTAAAATTGTAGCTGCAGAAATGTCTCTTTCAGGCTGGAGTGAAGACAGTATCTTATTCCAAAGCACCTAACCTGACTCCGTCAGATGAATTTGCTCCGCATATCCATCTGGAAACCTTCCGTTGAAGTAATTTTGGGAAGGGGCGAAAATACTGGTTAGCTGATTGGCCTATGTTGGTGATAGACGGGCCGAATAAACCAATCAGATCAACAAAGCATATGACGTACTAACAGCCAGGCTACTCTTGCCGAAACCAGTCGGGAGAAGAGCAAAAACATCTTTTCCTCTGAGAAAAGCCTCCAGAGCAGTGTTTTGCTTTTCTTTCAGTGAAGAAATACTCTGTAATTCCGATAAAACTTGCTCGATAGCCACGCTAACGCTACTTTCATCGGCTGAAGCCGCCATGTTCTTTAGACTGAACTGTCGCGCTTCTCGTTGCGTCACACATCAACCCGCCTCAAAGCCAACGCTGATTGGACGTTCGTTTTGGTGAACGGCTCCAAATTTTCTTCAACGGAGAGTCTCCAGACTGATCTGCGAGTGAAATCTTGAAAGCTCGCGATATCAGGAAGGTCTCACGAGGCTACAAAGCACCTATGCTGCTCTTGAAATCTAAAATATGTGTGAAAAGTTATCCCTAAATGATAATAAGGATAACACTAAAAATTTTCAGTCTGTTTGGGCTCCAGTTAAAAAACATTTAACGCTCCAGTTCTGGACGTCCCATTGCATGGGATTTATCTGCACCTAGTCTCATCGGATCAGCGGCCCCACTTACTGGTTTGTCCTTAATGGTGGGGCTTGAGACGCAGAGGTAGAGCTTCCCATCCTCCTCAATGCAGGCGTCGATCAAGGCCTGAACTGAAGCCTCTTCTTGAAAAAGCAGGAAGGCGTAACCTGGAAGGAATGAAACAATGATTCTAAAGAGAGGAAGAATAAAATATAACTGATATAATCATCCTCGGTTTTTATAACAGCGTCCGTTTTGTACCCGCTGTTAAAATCTGTCCTGCAGGGGAAGGAAAATCAAACAATTAATTACTTGAACAGTCTCAGCATAGAAGTTATGCAGGCATACGACTATCTGGCAGGCTTCCTTTTTCTTAATCTGCCTCCATAAGAGCAGAGCGTCACTCCTCAGGGGAACCATGCAATATTTAGCAGTCTAACACATATTGCAGATCCTCCTGAGTGAGGGGGGGGGGGGTCACACACACAGAGTTTAGTGATGTCCTTGTGAAGTAGAAAGAAAAAAGAAAAGTTCCCCGGACCGTCTCTATGCGCTGCTGCATTATTTAACATTGACAGCAGAGACTTCCTTCAAGGTCAGAGCTCCTGGGTCATAAGAGTGACAGAAAACCTGATTCAAAAGCCAACATCCATCTAATGCTAGTAGATGAGTGGGGGAGCAGTAAAGAATAAAAGGTTCAAAATGAGAAATCCACTAAAGATACAGTATATATCAGAGAAAAGATACACATAGAACATTTAGATTCAGTTAGGAGATAACAGTAACAGTAAAATCACTCGGATGAGGAGCAGATCAGTGGAAGGCAATCAGCATTTTATTCTCTTTTCATTTAAAGGTATACTATGCAACCGGTGTTGATTTTCCAGCGAGGCTCCCCCCAGAGGGCGAAAGTAAAAGTGCAGTGTCGTAAATATGCTCAGATGTTCTCCTGGTTTCTCCGTCAAGCCAGGCGCGGTTGTTTTGAGCTTAGCAGACAGGCGAACGCAACGAATCACCATGTCTACTGCGGTAAGTGACTATTTTGTTCCAATTTTCGAGTTTGAATATTTAGCATGTTTTCATTCATTATTTGTTATGCATGTGTTTAAATAACAGATTGTAGTTAGCTAAGTTCTCGCCGTAAAGCAAGACCGACTCTTGCAATGCACGAGACTTCTGAGCCTGTGGGTGCGGGCCGAGGGCTCCTGCAATTGCAAGTACGGTAATTCCCCTACAGACCAGCAGGGCGGCCGAGAAAACCTTTGTTCGACCTGAAATGACTCATTTAATCATCCAAAACGTTATGGAACACATTAATTAACTGAAAAATGTTGCATAGTGTGCCTTTAACACATCAATTCCATGTTTTAATTTTAATTTCCACACACACAGCACCACTTAGGTTTGCCACTAGTTGGCTTCAAGCTCTTTGAAAATCCATATTATCAGAAAAAAAAAGAGTCTGGTTCAGAAAACGGGAGTCATGAGAAGTCATCCGTCTGCATCCATCGTCGTTTTTGTTTTTATCTTGATCTGTGCGGTAAAATCCTTTATGAACTTACCTTATTGATTAATACTCCATCCCACATTAAATACAGTCTTTCCGCGGTTTCCTATAAAGTCAGTGTTAAATATTTCATTGTATTTTCACAAGAGCATTAGATAGAAATGCTCTTACAAACTATTTTTTTTTAGTAATCATTCTATTAATTATTCTACAATAATCCATTAATGGGATAAAAAAAAAGTCAAACTCGGCAGATTGTTCACCTTTTGATGTGGTCTTATTTCATCAGTGATGTGGAAAAAAATACTAATATTTAAGTTAATTTTATGAATAAGAAAATAAAAAGGCAGCATCGGCAGCTAAAATAAAAAAATTCAAAATCAATATAATAAAATCTTATTCCTTTCTGGTTGAGTTAGCATTAATAAAGTGGAAGCTGCCTCCATAGGGAAAATGGTCTTAAACAACAAAAAAGGTTAATAAAGTTTCATTTTTTGTACATTAAAAAGCATAGCTATAAACAAAACAATCCTTCTACACATTAAAAACAACATTATTCTGCTGGTTTAAATTCTGGCCCAACAAAAGCTACACCTGTCTGCACCCCTCTGTGTTTAACCAAATGGTATGATCCTGTATTCCCACATGATTCAACCAAGCAGACCAATCAAAACAAAGCTCTGCAGAATGCAAAGGTTGGGTCCAAGCAGTGAGTGAGCATTAAGCTGCTGCGATGAAGCTCAGTCAACACCAGCTGGCTCAATGCAAAGTTTTCGTTTTTGAAAAGTTGAAAGCCAACCTACACTTTAACAATTTATCTCTTTCTCTGCACCTAGCCATTGCTGTATCCCTCCATTGCAAAAAAACAAAAAACACACACCTGGCAAGCTTCTCTTGCATAGAAACATTGCACACAGTGGACTGGTTCATTTTGTGTACCTTTTTCATAGCTGCGCTGTTTTTCCTTTCACCCAATTTTCTCTCAATATGTTAGAAAAATTTCCTCTAGGTCAGGGGTAACAAATTAAAAACCAGCAGGGTCTGAATAAAGAAAATCATCAACCAGTAAAGGTCTGGAGACATTTTTAATTATAATTTGTTACTTTAAACAGAATTTAACACTGAAATAAAATGGTTTTTATGCATCCATGTTATACATTGACTTTTTAAATAAAAAAAAAAAGAAAATGTTTCCATTTTGAAATCTAAATTGTTTTTTGAAGTAGAGAACAACAATTGTTCAGTTTGGTATATAGACAATTTCCTGATTCGCATATTTAAAAAAAAAAAACTGAACTTTCTTTTTTATGGCTTAATGAGAGCAGTGGGCTTTAGGCTGCCCTGCAAGGCTTTAAACCTGGGTTTGAATGGAGACTAAGCCATTCTCAAGCACATTTTAAGGTGTTCATTTGTGAAGTTATGTGCAGGATCATTTATAAACACGCCATTGCACTTTTCTGTCACCAGTTTACCACACTTCTTCCAGCAGTCCACAATTTCTTTCATGTTTTCTCATCATGGTTACCCATCACCCGGCTTGCCGAAGGTTTGCCTGCTGTGCCTAAAAGTAGCTAGTGCACAGCTCATTGGCTAATATGCATCACATGTAGCCTGGTGCCGGAGGGCTTTACCGTAAAAACAGGAGAAGCAGCGCAAGTAAAATTAGACACTGCCGTCGGACAACATGCAGTAATTTATAAAGGTTTTAAATCAGGTTGGGTCCAGATTAGCCAGCAGTTAGGTCCGGATCCGGACCGCTAATCCCGCCGCAGTCCAAACCCTATGAATCTCCTTTAAACAATCAACTAGCTTTGCTTCACCATCCCTCATTTCTCCACCTGTTTTTTTCCTTTCACTAAACTTTCCTACGTCTTTAGCTCCTGCTTTGGAGCTCATGTCAGTGACTGACACACAGCGATACGTTTTAAGCACTGATTATGTTAAATCTAAATGGCTTACAGCTAATTATCACCAAAAATATACAAATTTATAGAATATCTAAATTAAAAATAAATATTTTTAATTCAGAAAAGTCAGCTTCCACAATTAGAGGGAAGACTATTGTCTTATCGGATCTCCTGAAGAAATATCTAGGAATATAAACAGAAAATTGAGTGGAAGGAAAAAGTATGCCAATTAAAAAGGCACACAGATAGAAAAGTATTGCTGTGTGTAATGAATGTATATAACATTTAGTTTTTGAATTTAATTTTTTAGATAAAGTATCTTTTACATACGTACATTTCCTAAGATTGAATTGAGATTTTAAGAGATTTTTCAGTGACAGATCGTTAGATCCCAGTTGTGAGAAGTAGCACTACTGCAGATCCTTCCTCCTACCTGCTGAACATCTTTTTAATTTCTGCTCCCAACAGATCCCCTGTTTTTCTCATGCCTATCGTTATTTGCCCTGTTTCTTTTCACCTCTATCAGCAGATAGTTTCCATTAGTCAGCAGATTATTTCTAAGAAAGAAAAGCAGCTATTGGTTCAGTAATCTCTAACAGAAATGATGGATTTTGTAATAAAAGCTGTGTCAGCTGTGCATCCCCTTCGGCATTCATGTATCAGGAAAATATAAAGTGATCCGATTGGCTGCTCAGGATCATAACCCTCCCCTCCCCCCAAACTCAGCAGCTCTGTAATACCCTGCTCCATCATCCAGTAATGTCATGCCTGCTGTCCCCTGTGAGCGACTCCGAATCATTTTAACTCACTATTTCCCATCGTTCACAAACGCATGAGTAAAAAACTATGCTGTAGTTTTTCACTTTCACCCTTTTCTAGATAGAGCTGTTAAAATGTAGATTACCAGAATAAAGGATGATTAAATGAAATGCTTGACTCAGCAGACAGTAAAATGGACTTCTGCAAGAAAATATTAAAGTAAGGGAAAAAAGGGCTTTAAATATAGCCCGATAAATCAGACTAAATGTGAGATTATTTTTAGTTAGTATTGGCCAAAGCTCTGACCAATGAGCGCAACTGACTGTGACGTAGTAAGCGCGACAGAAAGCTGGTGGGGGAGCGTAAACAAACAGCCTGTTGGTAATACGGCGAATAAGTCCTTCTTAAAACTGAATGAGCGTAGAGCCTCTTCCTGCTCACGCAACGAAAACCCCAAGTCTAATCCTTCCAAAACTGATTCCAAAGCTGAGTCAAATTAGAACTGTTCAATAGTTGATGCCATCTTCCTTGTTGTGCTTCTACAAGCATCGCGCAGCTTTATCGTCCCGCCCTCAAAACCCCGCCCTCTTTGCATCCAGAAATTCAAAACACATCTCTGCGTTGTGATTGGCCCGCCAGTTCTGGGACCTGGGGCATAAATATGGAATCTGGTAGAATGGAAGGAAGGAAGGAAGGAAGGAAGGAAGGAAGGAAGGAAGGAAGGAAGGAAGGAAGGAAGGAAGGAAGGAAGGAAGGAAGGAAGGAAGGAAGGAAGGAAGGAAGGAAGGAAGGAAGGAAGGAAGGAAGGAAAAAACTTTAAAATGAGACAGATGAATGTATGTGATTTTTAACCTCTTAGACCCTCAGGGGGTATAAATAAATTTCTGCCTGACAAAAACACACAAAAGTAAATAACTTATAGCCTCAAAGCTATTAGATTTAAGAAGAAACTTTTGGTACGTCTGTAAAGGTAAGATGTCATAGAATGGTTTTC